AGCGCCGCGTGCGGCCGGAGGGCCCTGGGCGAAGGCAGCTCGCCGGCCGAGGCGCGCCGCCGGGCCTCCATGGCCTTCAAGAAGCTCTCCGGGGCGGCCAAGTCGTCCAGGCCGTCGGAGGCGTCGGAGTCCGTGGTTTTGGCGTCGGAGTGGAGCAGGAGCGCGGAGTCGTCGGGGGGCTCCGAGTCGTCCTCGTCCTCCTCCTCGTCCTCCTCCTCGTCGTCGTCGATGTCCTCTCCCAGCTGCCCGCCCAGGAGGAGCTGGCCGGCTTTGGCGCCCGTCGCGGCGCCGCTTTCCATGTTCTCCGTGTCGATGTTCTCCAGGTCGATCTCCTCCTCGTCCGGGTCGCGCTTGTCGCCCTCGCCGTCCTCCTCGTCGTGCTCGCTGCCGTAGGAGTTGCCCTCCTCGTCGGTGCGGCTCCGCGGCGCCCAGGTCATCTTGTTCTCCTTCTTGAGGCGCCGCCGGGCGTTGGCGAACCAGGTGGAGACCTGCGTGAGGGTCATCTTGGTGATGATGGCCAGCATGATCTTCTCGCCCTTGGTCGGGTAGGGGTTCTTCCGGTGCTCGTTCAGCCAGGCCTTCAGCGTGCTGGTGCTCTCCCGCGTGGCGTTCTTGGGCCTCGACGGGTCGCCGAACTGGTACTGCCCGTAGGGGTAGAAAGCCGGGTGGTGGTGCGGGAAGGCCGGGTGCTGGACGCCGGGGCTCTCCTTCAGCTCGTACTGGGCTCCCTGGACGGAGAGAAAGAGGCGGGTTGGGTTTGTTGGGTTGGGAAAGCAGCGAAGCGCGCAAAACCTCGATTCCCGGGGAATAATCGAAGAGCGGGACTCTTTCGGAGGGCAAGACCTGGGTTCGAGTCCAGGCAGCACCTTAGAGGCCAGCCAGATCTGGGGAGGTGTGTGAGTTTTAGAGAGTCAAAGCTCCCGTGGTCAGGAAAGAGCCAGGATAAGGCCTCAGAAGGTGGAGAGACACAGGCGAGGGGGAAAGGACACAGGAGTCAGGCCCCAGGGAGCTGGTGCGGGTCTCTCCTGAGCCGTCGAGGAATTCTATGAAGCTCGGAAGCTGTCGCGGGAACACTGGGGGGGACCCAAAAAGGGGGTCCTCTGCCGTTTCAAGAAATGTCTATTGGGGGAAGAGAGGGTCGTTCAATCCCGCACGCCGTCGCCCCAAATACCACAGCCTTCTTTCCTATACCCAGGATGGTGCAAATGAGACTCATTCACTACTTGCGAGACATGATCTTATTTCACATACAAGGCCGCGAGGGGAACACTTAGAGGCAGAAGAGCCTCACAGACAGATGCCAATAAGTTACCAGAAGGGGGTGGTATATGAGACAGAACTGGATCTAAGATCACACCAGGTGATCTCTAGGCCAACCGGGGCCCCTATTAATGTTAAATCTCTGGCACATGAATTGAGGGAAGCAGAAGCTGAGCAAGCAAGGGCTCATCAGTTTCAGTTGATAGCTGGGGATGGAAAGCCCAAGGAAACGGAAGGAAAAATGACTTTACCTACTTCACCAGCAAAGGGGGAGCATTTGCCACTTAATGCAGCCAAGAGGAGCCCAGATACACTGGAGCCTCAAGGTGATGAAGGGCCCCCCCCCCCCTTACGATCCCTCTGCGCGCTGGAACGGACTGTCACTCAAGGGCTCACCAAGGGAAAAAAGCAATCAGTCCTGCCCAACACCTATATCTTTCTCCTTGCTTTGTATGCGTTCAAGGGTGGCAAGAGACCGTGTGTGTGTGTGTGTGTGTGCGCTCAAAAGAAGGAACAAGCAGTCGTGGGACAAGCAGTTGTGGGATTTTCTTTTTGCAACTTTAATTTGAAGGGGGGGGGGGGAGAGAATAGCACATGGGCCGAAAACGGCCTTGCCAACTGTACCCCAGCCGGGGGACAATAACTGAACACAGACTTGACCCAGCCTAGGACAATAAGAGGTTTTAACAAACACCCCCCCTCCTGCTCCCCCGAGAAAGCCTCCTTGACATGTTAGGACCCATATTTTCCGAACTTCTCCGATCGGGCCGCTTCGCTTGCGGAGTTTCCTTCCTGCTTCTACAAAGCGAAATCTCCCTCCTCCCCGGCGAGAGCTCGAAATAAAATCTGTTTTTATGTCCGGGGAGGGGGGGGAAGGAAATCAAACGAGACGAGATCTCTCTCTTCTCCCATTCCGCCCCCCCCCCCCGACTTTTCCTCCGTTCCCTTCCACCGCCTCTTCCCCCAAACTCGCTCGCTACACCCGGAACGATTTGGCCGCTGCACTGGAGCGCCGGGTGCCGAAGGAGCCCGCGTGTGCATTAAAACGCAGACCGGCCGAGGGAGCCCCAATCCTCCCCGCGACTCGTGGAAAAAGTCCACGTCCCGCGTCTCCACCACAGCTCGGAGCTTCTGGCCCGGGAGAGGGTCTGTCGCCGCCACCGGCTCCGCAAAGCCCCGGCGGAGCGAGCTGGTCAATTGCTCCGCCGGCCTTAGTCAGTTTCACCTTGTTTGTTCTTTGTAATCGACAAGAGCGCGGCGGTTGGGAAGCCAAAGGGGGAAATCCCTCCTAAAGACGAGGCTTGTCTATTTGACTGGGGGGGGGGAAGAGAGCTGCAGAAATCGGGGAGGAAGAAGGGAGGGGGGGTTGCTGCTTTTTTTTTCCTTACCAGCTGCGGGAAGATGGGCAGTTCGGTGGCATAGGGCAAGAAGGCTCCGTATCCCTGGGCGGCTGCGGCGGCCGCGTAAGGCGCTCCGTACATGGTGGAGAGGACGTTGGAGAGGGTCCCCGACGGGCTGAGCTCTGCCCCGTTGCGGGAGCTGCCGTTCCCTTGGCGATCCGTCGGGTAGATGGGCCGGATATACTGGTATCCCAATTGGGGGAAAGCCATGGTGGAGTGGGGAAGCGAGCGAGCCGGCGGCGGCGGGAGCGACCCAGAGAGGGAGCCGGATCGCTCGGTCCGCTGTACTTTTTTAGCGCCGCTCGGAAACTCTGCCAGACATTGGTGCTGCCCGGTGGGGGCGGGAGGGTGGGGAGAGGAGAGGGGAGAGGGGTGGGGAGGGGAGGAAGGAAGGAAGGTAGGGTGGAGGCGAGGCGAGGCCGGGGGGGCTGCCGCCGCCGCCTCCTCCCTCCCTCTCTCTCTCCCTCCCTTCGGCTTCTTCTTCCTTCTCCTCCTCCTCCTCCGGCCGCTGCCGCGTAACGATCCGCCGGCTGCTTCTTCGCCTCACTTTTCCTATTGATCTGAGTGGACTCCGGGTCAGGTCCTAACAGATTGCTGCAGATTATTGAACTCCCCGCCTTTGATTGACAGCCGGAGTCTCTCCCTCTCTCGCTCTCTCCCCAAGCCCCGCCTCCTTCTTTTTAAGTCAGAGAGAGAGAGAGAGAGAGAGAGAGAGAGTCAGTCTCTCTCCCCCCCCGCCTTCCATTTACTGACGTCGCGATCTTTTATTTGAGTGCCTCTCAGATCTCGTTCTAGCCATCGCCAATCAGTTCGAGTCCCCCCCCCCAAGCAGAGCCTTAACTCTGCTGCCCCAGAGGTTTTGTGTTTCTTTTTTTTTTTTAAAAAAAAACCCCAAACCAAGTGTTTTTTGTTTTTTTTTTTTTTTTAAAAAAAAAACCCCAAAACAAAAAACAAAAATGTGTTATTAGTAGTTATGAATACTTCGGGGATCCCGCCCTCCGCTTGAAATCAAAGCAAGCGTGTTTTTTTTTTTGGGGGGGGCGCGGAATTTAGGACCGGCGGTCTGCCTAGAATTTTGACCGGACCGTGTGAGGGAAACGCCGTGCATTTCTCGCTGCCCAATTGCTGGCGTCGCCCGTCCCTCCGATGCCTCGCGACTTCTGCTAATATAGATTTAAAAGTCGGCGTCGACTGTCTCTCTGTTCCCCTTCGGGGCTTCCCCCCCCCCCCAATCAATGTGGATTTTCCTCCGGCCCCAAAACTGGAAGGAGTTTCCCGACCACAGTCAGGCAGATACAGGGAGGTGGAAAAAGAGGGGCGGGGGTGCAGAGAAAGAGAAGTTCATTCCCCCCCCCCAAAAAAAAAAGGGACTTCAAAGACGAGCGGGTCAGAATTTTTGACATCAAAGGCGAGAAAAAGGGAGGCGAATTAAAATCCGAACAAAGAATCGGCCCCGTGGGCCGTTGGTAAATAAGCGGTGTGAAGAAACGTCTCTCTCTCTGTGTGTGAGTGAGTGGGTGTGTGTGGGTGTGAAGCCCCCCCCCCCAAGAAACACAAAGTGACAGGCATCTGAATGAAACTCATTAAGACCTTTTTGTCTCGGTGCGAAATCTCTAATTAGGAAATTTATGGCCGTTTTTGCTCGCTCGCCGCCTGCCCCGGCGGCGCGAAGGGAAGCCGGGCGAAAGGTGCTCACTTTACCTGGGCAGGACAAAACGCCCCCCCCTTCATAAAGTTATGCAAGTGTATATGTGTGTGTGTGGGGGGGAACCTGTAAGGAAACAGGTTAAATACTTATGGCTGAATTACTTGCCATGGTTTTTTTTTGAAGAGGGGGGATAATTCCTGGGTTGCAAAACAAAAATTGTTTCCCGCAAACGGATCCTGAGATTTAAACTTCTTCCTGAAAAAGTGAGGGACGCCGACAACGGTCTGTCTTTTCTTTCTTTCTCTCTCTCTCTCTCTCTCTCTCTCTCTCTCTCAACTTGGGGCGCCTAAAAACCTAGTTTGTCCTCTCTCGCACGCATTCATATATGTCTGCGTCGCCAACTCGTGTCAATTTCTGGCATGCGGATCGGTTGAGAGAGGCGCCCGCGTTTCCAAGCAGACGTGCACGGGGATATGATTTAAATGAAGCCGGGAGACTGCTAAAAATCTAGGCCAGGATCCACCACGGCTGTCCTTATACCGAGGAGGCGGCCCGCCAGTTTACCTCCTGCTTGACAAGTACTGTCTCGGATTTATCCCTCTGCTAAAATCGCCAGTTCTCGCTTCCCCTCCCACCCCGTATGGCTTTTATTTTTATATCTCCGGTTCCTTCTTCTCCTTCTTTTCGGGGAGGGGGAGGGCGAAGAAATGAAATTCATGTCAGATTAACCAGTTAGAAGCATCGCCCTTGATCGCCTGCTCTATTAAAGCCCCCTCAATCTTGTAATAAATACGGATTATGTCCAATAGCAGGACTCCGAATTAAAATTCCCGGAATCAATATAGAAGAATCTGGAAGGGAACATCCCTAATCGTATTAGTCTGGTCTCGAGATCTTCTCCGATCTGCTAATCGAGCAGGCCCTCCACCCCAGTTCCTGTCCCCAATCCTGGGCTTTACGCGCCTCTTTCAATTTTGCTCTTGTTATATTTTGGGAGACGGTTATAATGGAGAGGGAGAGAGAGAGAGAATATTCCACTGGATTCTGGGATTATGATGATTAATAATAATATTAGAGGAGAAGGACAGAAGGTCATTATTGGAAGGACAAGCCAGGATCTTAGGGGTTTAGGGGTATTATTATTTCCCCTCCTCCTTTTGCATTTTCAAGGGCGCGCTTCCCTTTCGTTTGGGGAGAACGCCCAGCCACTGGCGGCTAACATATTCCTTAAGGGCAAAGGGCCAGGCGGCTTTGCTGCTTCGGTTGATTTACTCGCGAGTAACGTTGGACTCCTCTCCCAGTTTCCAGGATTCGGCTTCAGAGTAAGCGGCCGGGACCAAATCCCAGAGAAACTGGCAATCAATCAACTGAGAACAGTGGTTGAATCTCGGTTTTGACATAGATTGGAGGCGCACTTACTTGGAAGTAAATCCTAAAGAGAGGGGGGGCTTGGGGGGTAATCAACAGTGCTGAGGATCTGTTTGGGGGTGGGGATGGCTCCAGTCTAGACCCCTGCTACCCAGGAAGACCCCATTCGAGAGTCCTAATTCAAGATCGGCCTGGAACCCACCTCACCACTTGGTTATCCTGTGGAGAATGACAAACGAAGCCTGCGAGGGGCTTGCGTCCCCAGCCTAGGGTGTTCAGCGCCCATCGGGGGAAAGGCCCCCGCACGCTTTCCAAACGGTGGGATCTTTGCGCGTCTGCACAGCAGCGCCAAACCAGCCTATACGCGTGTAACCGCCTCCCGACGATCTCTGAAAAGAAAAGCGGTTCTGCAGAGAACCTGGAGACGGTGTAGTTGGATGGAAGGGCTCCTTAACCTGTTCCCGGCCTGACCTTCTATTCAGGATGTCCCCCAACCCCCCCCCTTCCCAAGCTTCGCTTTCCTACCCACGGACAAAGTTACACGTGTCTATGAAATCGGTCACACGCTCCCTTCTGTCCGCGTGGTACACGTGGGGGCGCGGCCGAGACAGCTCACGCCCGACGTGTATGGATCCCGATTGTGTGCCACAGAGTAATGAACCGCGTGGCATTCGGTATGTGACGCCCGACGTCAAGCACCCGCGCTGCACCCATTCAGACGGTTTCAGAGGGGACAGCCGCCCCCTGAATGCGGAGAGCGTCTCATTACCCAGAGACGTCGGGGTGGTGGTGGGGGAGTCTAACGGTTTCCCGAAATGCGACCATCACCGCTTAGCTATGTGGGGCAGGATCCCCCCCTCCCAACAGGGGTTCAGTCCAGAGGAACACGAGTTGGACATGGCCGGGAGGTCACTGTCTTTTTCCTTTCCGGATCCGCCAAGACCCAAACCGCAGAGGAAGTTTGACGTTTGGCAAACACGTGTCCAGAAAAGTTGGGTGGTCTGTCCAGAGCTCAGTTTCAGGATACTTGACCCTCGCAACCTTCACCACCCCGGCCCCGCTTGGATTAGGGGAGGGGGCATCGGAGAGAGAGATCTGGCCATCCCGGTGTGTGGGAAAGGAGCGGGTGAATGGACCTTCCACAAATTGCAGGCCAGCAGAAGGGGGCGGGTTGCTGGGAGGGGTGGCACTGAGAAGACGGGTGGGGAAAGTATAACGGACGATGGGCGGAATCTGTCACACGTAGATCAAGCGGAGGTGCGTTCCGCTGGCGAAACCGGCTCTCTCGCAGGACTGGGGAGTAATATGGAAGGTACTTGTAATCAGGGGTCATTTTGTAGAAAAAGAGGCGCAGAAGCTCATTAGCATAACTTATTTGCATATGCCACACCGCTGACATCACTGGAAGTGTGTCAGAAGGCAACACCCACCGCTCAGGCTCCACTGGACTGTTTTGGATTGCTAGCTATTGGGGGGGGGGATGTGCAGATCTGTCCTCACAGAGGAGGGAGAGCTTGTACCTGAATAAAACTTGGTCTTAAAGGTGCCACTGGACGGTTCTGAACGGGGCCGGGGAGAGCTCTGCAACTTACCTGACTGCTTCTTGCCCTGACTGAGGGCTACTGGGAGCAGGGGGTGGGGCTTGTTGCATGTGCCCGCCCCCTGGGCTCCTTACTGCTGGAGCTCTGCTCCTGTGTGCTCCTGCAGGAAATGACCCCTGCTTGTAATTCTGGAGGGGAAACTTATACGTACGTACATACACATAGATCCAGGTGGTCAGCCCTGTTGGTATGAAGCATCAGAACAATTTTAGAGTCCACACGAGGCACCTTTAAGACCAACAAAGTTTTTATTCAAGGTGTGAGCTTTCCTGCGCATGCACACTTTCCCAAAAGTGTGTAGGCACACGAAAGCGCATAACCAGTGTTCCCTCAAAACTGAGTCAGTGTGAGCTGGCTCACAGGTTTTTTTAGCCTCCGGCTCACACATTTTTGCCTTCGCTCAGGAAGGAGGGCTCCAGAGCCAACCTAACCTATACACTCGCCAAATCACTCGCTCACAACTTGAATGCCGGTAGCTCACAAAGTAGATTTCTTGCTTCACAGTTTAGAGGGAACATTGCCATAACTTGAATGAAACTTTGTTGGTCTTAAAGGTGCCTCTGGACTCTAAATTTGTTCTAATACATACACAGACACAC